GCGCGGGCGCGTCTGGCGAACGCGCGGCGCTGATCGCAGAGCTCGTGACGCTGTATTCCACACCCGTGGACGTGCCCATCTACTCGGCCCCCACGCTCGACCACCTGCGGGCCCTCGTCTGGACGGTGTGCAGGGCGAAGTGAGAGGGCTGGCCCTCCTGGGCCCCGCTGCCGCCTCGTGGTTGGGCTAGCATGCCCCAGGTGCGTAGCGGGTGATCCCAGGGAGGCCCTCCCCCTTCCGTTTGCTGCATGTGTGAGCCGTTCACTGCCCAGTTGCAGTGCAGCGGTTGGGGCTCAATATCCCATAGCTTGCTGTCGTTAGTCTCGGCTGACGACACTGCAGACGGCGCCCACCTCATCTTCTCCTCCTCCTCCTCCTGCTCCCACTACTGCGCTGCCTCTCCTCCTCCTCCTCCTCCTCCTCCTCCTCCTCCTCCTCCTCCTCCTCCTCCTCTTCCTCGTCCTCCTCCCCTGCCTATGCTCCTCGTCGTTCCGCGAAAGATGTGGATTCGTCTGGGAACGCGCTATGCGAGAGGGTTTGAGAGTGTGTCTGTATGTCTTCTTATTGTCAAGCGGATGCCCTGGTGTCTGTGACAGCCCCCCCGCGACAGTTGCATCCTTCATGTGGGTCGAGTCATCATCCCGGCCCGTCGGCGGTGCCAGTCGGCCATATTCCCCATCCAGACGTGGAGGACTACAGGGAGGAACGTGATGATGCTGATGACGATGATGACGAGGATGCTGCTGCTGATGATGATGACGATGTCGATGTCGATGATTACTGATGCTGCTGCTGATGCTGATGTTCATGCTGATGCTGATGATCGTGTTGTTGCTGATGCTGCGGATGCTGATGACGACTATGATGCTTGTGCTGATGGCATAGGATGATGATACTGTTGCTGCTGATGCTGATGTTGCTGATGATGATGGTGTTGCTGTTGATGATGACGGTGGTGATGCTAATGATGCTGATGATGTTGATGCTGATTGTGATGCTGATGGTGGTGATTATGGCGATGCTGCTGCTGATGCTGATGTTGATACTGATGATGGAAATGATGTTACGGACGATGATGATGCTGATGCTGTTGGTGATGATGATGCTGATAATACTGATTAGGCTGATGATGATGCTGATGATGATGCTGATGTTGCTGCTGATGGCGACGATGACGACGATGATGGTGCTGATGGTTATTATGAATATGATTTTGATGCTGATGGTGATGGTGATGGTGATGCTAACTGTGATGATGACGCTGATCATGATGATGCAGCTGATGATTATGATGCCGATGATGATGATGATGCTGATGGTGATGATGATAAAACTGATGATGGTGATGATGATGATGATGATGATGAGGACGATGTTGGTGATGCCGATCCACGCATCTAAAATGGTCATGAGCCCCTTGCTCGTACTGCCCGTCGGGCCGAGGCGTTTCCCTATGGCCTTGCGGAGGCAACGCTTGGTTTCGTCCGCCTCGGCGCACCTTCGCAGATTCGCCTAAGTGCCCAAAAACCGCCCACCGCCCCAGCCGAAGCACGCGAAAGTCACAGCATCTGAACAGTCACGGCGATTCAGTCCGCAACAGAGCGAGAGCAGTGCAAACAACAGGGGCTGGTACGCAGCATAGCTGCAGATAAGCTCGTCGCAGGCATCCGTGATCCTCGGGCCCGCCTGGCGCCACGAGCATAACGACACCGCGCTCGGCAGACCGATGGGTCCGACGCCGCAGGGTGCCAGAAGCTACATTCAGGCGGAGTGCCGCATGGGTGCGGCACAGGAAATGTGAGAAACTGCTGAGACATATCGCATCCGTCAACGCCAGCCGCGCGCATCGCGGGCGGCGCGCAGCTTGGCGCCCAAGGCAGCGCGAGCCCCAGCCATCAGCCCGTTGTACCTGGCCCGCAGCGCTTCCAGCTCAGCCCGTTCCGAAGGGTGCTGCTGACGTCCCTCTTGCGGCACAACTGGTAGGGGCGAGCAATGCTGGCAGCTCGGGCCACCTTTTGCCGTGGCGGGGCTCTTTGGCTGCGGCCGCCCATCCAAAACCTCGTCCGCCGTCCGCCTGTTGCTCGAGGTCGTGCTGCTGGTACACATGGGTCTCATGGTGCGCAACATCGACGGAGACAAAGTCGAGCGTGCTGAGCTCCTGCTCCACGCCGTGCTGCTCGGCGTCGCAGTGCTGGTATCCGTCGGACTGCTGCTTTGAGACCGTATGGGTCGCGACGCGCTTGGGCACCACCGCGGACGCGAACTCCGATGCCAAAGTCTCCTTGACCTCCAGCTCATGCTCCTGGTCCAATTTGGAGTCCTCAGACCTCGTCGAATCGGTGCCGACGTACTGCTGGGCACCACATGGCCCGACGTCGTCGCCGAACTTGGCGTCCCTCCAGACGGTGCTCTGCTGCTCGTCATCGTTGAGGGCGGGGTCGCTGCTCCTCAGTGCCTCCTTATCCCACTGCCACCACTTGGGGCCCTCTGGCAATCGGAGGCAGAGCAGGCGTAGGGGCCGAACGAATCCGCTCCGCCAGGACGAGATCCTGGCCTGGGCCCCTCCCGCGCGACGCCACGGCCTGCCGGCCCGATGTAACGCGGCCTGCCCGCCCGCCGTCTCCGCCAGCGCCGCGGGTGCTAGAGCAGGGCCCGCTTGGGCCTCCGTGGCCGACTGGGCGCGCCGCCGCTGCGGGCGCCTGCGCGGCCGTCGATGGCGAGGCACGGGCTGCTGCCGCTCGCCACCGCCGTGCTGGCCTCGAGCGCCCTCGCCGCGGGAGTGCCCGCGATCGGACTGGGCGGCGAGCACGGCCTCCTCGGGCTCGCGTCGGCGGGCCGCGTGCTGGCGATGCTCGCCGCCGCCGTGCTGGCCGCGCGCGGCCTCGCCGACGCACTCCCCGAGCTCGGGCTTGGCTTCGAACCTGACCTCCTCAGGCCCGCGCTCGCCGTCGTAGCCCTCGAGCTCGTCGTCGCCGACGTCGTAATTGTACTCGTGTTGCTTGTGCAGCTGCACGTGATGCTGCTCGTCCACGTGCTGCTGGTGCCCGTAGTCGTAGTGCTTAGCAGCGCCGTTGTAGCCGCACTCGTCCGTGGGCGGCGCCTCTATGGATGGGATCCTCGCCGTCGGCGCACGGGTCCGCAGCAGGGCCATGCACCATGTTGGCTATCTCTCCCGTGCCGCGGCGCCTCGCCTCCATGCTGGGTCGCCATCCTGCCTCAGAGGGCGGACGGCCGAGAGCCCCCAGATCCGTTGGGGCGAGGGCGCCAGACCGCCCGCGGAGTTGGCTGTCCTGCGGCCGCTCGAGCGCAGCCTCGAGGACCTCGGCGCCTTCACCGAGGAAGGCGTGGCCCCGAGGTTCCAAGACGCCCGCTCGGCGCCCGAAGGCCTCTCGCCGTGGATCAAGCGCGCCAAGGCTGGCCGGATGGCCCGAAGCCGCACGGCGAGCTCGGCGTCCTCCTCCTCCTCCTCCTCGCCGGCTCCATCTGCAGCCCAGCCCCCGATCATCAGAGGCGAGGATGGGGGCGAATAGCCCAAGGGGAGGGCAATCCATGTATTCAGGGGCGCCGATGATTTTTATGTCTTAGTCCAGGCTCCTGGGCGAATGCGTGTAATGCACGCCCCTGGGCTATTCGCCCTTCTCGTCGCCGCCGAGATCAGCTCAGCACCGACGCGCGCCGCGGCGGCCACGGCGGCCGTGACGCCATGCCTCGCAGCGCCCCCCGCTGCCGCGCCTGCGGCTGCCGCTCGAGGCAGCGGCGCCAGGGCGGCAGCGGCGCCCAGCGCCGCGACTGCCACGAGGGACCGAGCAGCGCGAGGCTCGAACGTGGCTCCTTGAGCCAAAATGGCTACGGATGATGATGATGCTGATGATGATGATGATGATGATGAGGATGGTGATGATGATGCTGATGATGATGACGATGAGGATGAGGATGATGCTGCTGCTGCTGTTGATGATGATGATGATGATGATGATGATGATGATGATGCTGGTTATGATGCAGATGGTGGTGATGATGCTGATGATGCTGGTGATGCTAATGATGCTGATGCTGATGCTGCTGCTGATAATGCTGGTGATGCTGATGGTGACGCTGATGACGATGACGATGACGATGAGGACGAGGATGCTGATTCTGGTGATGATGACAATGATGATAATGCTGATGGTGCAGCTGATGACGATGATGCTGATTAGGATATTATGGTAATGCTGACGACGATGGTGATGATGATGATGCTGATGATGATGATGATGATGATGATGATGATGATGATGATGATGATGATGATGATGATGATGGTGGTGATGAGGATGCTAAGGATAACGATGATGATGTTGCTGCTGATGATGGTGGTGGTGGTGGTGATGATGCTGATGATGATGCTGATTATGATAGTAGTGGTGGTGGTGGTGGTGGTGGTGGTGACGATGATGATGATGCTGCTGATGCTGCGGATGCTGCGGAGGCTGATGAGGCTGATGATGCTCATGATGATTATGAGTAGGAGGAGGTGAGAGGAGGAGGAGGAGGAGGAGGAGGAGGAGGAGGAGGAGGAGGAGGAGGAGGAGGAGGAGGAGGAGGATTGTTGTGCTCCCTCTGTGGACGCCGAGCATGCCAGCTGCGAGGAGGAGGAGGAGGAGGAGGAGGAGGAGGGGAGGAGGAGGAGGGGAGGAGGGGGAGGAGGAAGGAGGAGGAGGAGGAAGGAGGAGGAGGAGGAGGGAGGAGGAGGAGGAGGAGGAGGATGAGGAGGAGGAGGAGAAGGAGGAGGAGGAGATTCATCGTCTCAAGAGAGGATGCGGATGGGGATTGGAATCGCAGGGTGAAGAAGAGGATGAGGGCGGACGCTACAGCCGCACCATGCTGAAGTGAGGGCACGTAAAAGGAGGAGGAGGAGGAGGAGGAGGAGGAGGAGGAGGAGGCGGAGGCAGAGGCGGAGGCGGAGGAGGACGAGAAGGAGGGTGAGGAAAACGAGGGGGATGACCACCCCTTCAAAGGAGATTGTCAAACACGTCGCCAAGCCGGAATTTCATACGGTGGACAAGTTCGTCGAGGCGCCGGCCCACTGTCGCGTCAGCTTCTTCCCCATCCTGCTCCCAGTACTCGTCCCTTATTATTTCCTCGTCAGTGCCTCCTCCTCTTCCTCCTCCTCCTCTTCCCCCCCTCTTGTCCCCTGTGCCCTGTCCCCGTGTTTCCCTCCTCCCTTCCCTCCCCATCTCCTTTCCTCCCCCCTCCCTCGTCGGAGGCCTCCGGAGGTGTCGTGGTGTCCCCAGGTGCCTCCCGAGGTCCCTGGCATCCTCTGGCGCCCCCAGGGGTGCAGCAAGAAGTAGCCGAAAACGCGTAACAGCCTGATTCCTCGACCCTCCCTCGGGCGACGCCAGCTTCACCCCAGCGCCTGGCCCAGAAGGCGTATGCGCCGACCTTTGGCGCAGGATTGGCCTGGTCAGGATCAGTGTTGGAGCAGAGGGTACGGTTGGTTCCCTTCTACTCCAGGCTCCCTTCTCCCTGGTCCACCCTCCCTCCTCCCTCATTGCTCCTCCTCGTCGGAGGTCTTCAGGGACTCAGGAGGTCTCTGGAGGTCTCCAGGGGTCTTCGGAGGTCCCTGGAGGCTTCTGAGGCCTCCAGAGGTCCAAAAGGAATTCTCGATCCACGATGCTGCTGCTCCCTCCTTCCTGCTTCCTTCTTCCCTCCTCCCTCCTCCGGGTCTTCACTTTTTCCTTGCGGGACGGCCCTTTTCTTTGCGGACTGACCTCTTTCCCTGCGGAGCGCTGGGAAGGAATCCAGTTGTGTATGTGTTTTTGTTCAGAGGAAGTTGCGCACCCCGATTTTTCATGTTCCCTTTTTCAGCCTACCAACTCGCAGGTGATATTCACCAGAGAAGCGCTGGGCGAAAAATACGGTAAATTATCGTGTAACATCAATTCGGCGATGTTTGTAATCTGACAGCAGTTTGGAACTCACGAGCCACAGACTCTGGGGTAGTCTGGCTACCATGGCAAGCGAAAGCAAACCAGGCAGCCCTGCGTCATAGAGCATCACGAGGGGGGACATATGACAACACAGAAGGGGAGGATGACAACGGACACGTTCAGTGGGGAGAACAGTGTCCATTCGGCATAGTTTTCGGCCGCACATGCAAACACATCTAAGTAAATATGCACATAGCTATGTGCATATATCCCTCCATTCCGCTGTCTGCGGTAAACCCAGCCTTCGTGCCTGTGCAACAGCGCAGCAGGAAGGAGGCCGAGTGTAGGAACAACGCGATTCGCGCAATTCCGACGACAGTTCTGAGCTGGGACGGGTCGTGAATTCGACCTCGGTCCGCGCGGCAGTGGGAAATCGAGTTCACGCCCCGCTGCAGTTCAGCGATCGGTCTGGACTGGACTGAGGCGGGTCGTGAACTCGACCTCATCTACGTCCGCGCTGCAGGCAGGGAGGAGGAGGCGGAGGAGGAGGAGGAGGACGAGCAGGAGGTGGATGATGATGATGATGATGATGATGATGATGATGATGATGATGATGATGATGATGAGGAGGATGAGGAGGAGGAGGAGGAGGAGGAGGAGGAGGAGGAGAAGGAGGAGCAATAATGGGATGAGGAGGAGAGGGAGAGCATGAAGGCAAGGAGAACAACGCCAATCCAGGGCCTCTCTTGGCTCTTGGGGGTCTCTCAGGGCCTCGTGGGCGCGGGCCTCGTTTGCCGTCTTACAGCCGGGGCGCTGAAGAAGGTAGGGGCTCCGTGTTCACTAGTTGCTTTACAGTTTGCCTCAGGTCGCCCTTCGGTTTTCGATCGGGAAATCGATTTTAACTTGAGGAAACAAAGGGCCTCGTTCCTCATTTATCGCTCCTTAGGTCAACGCCCCAGCTGTGGTAGGCTGGTGGCCCGTCCGACGCTTTCGGAGGCCGTCTTGGGTGGCCTCCCTGGGCCGTCTTGATGTCCACCTGGAGCGCTTCAGGCCCGTCCTGGGGCCCTCTTGGGCGGCTCTCGCGTGATCTTGTGGTCCTCTTGGGATCGATTTGGGGCTTTACAGTCGGGGCGCTGAAGACGGAACCCTTTTCGTTGGGAGGGGCTCCGTGCTCCTTAGTTGTTTTACACTGTGCCTGGGGCTTTCCTTCGGTTTTCCACGGGAAAATGGGTCCTCGTTCCTTATTCATCGTTTCTTAGATCAATGCCCCGACTGTATTTTGGGGCCTCGTAGGCTGTCTTGGAGCTACCGTGGAGGCCTTTTGGGCCGTCATGGGCGGTCGGAAACCCAAACGGTCCAGACTTTTAGACTCCTTTTTAGAAGGCTCTTGAGGCCTCTTTGAGGCCTTCTGTGCCTCGGGTTCTGCTGGAGGGCCTCATTGAGGCCTTTTGTGCCGTCTTTGTATCTGCCCGAACCGTTTTCAGGCCGTTTGGGAGCCTCTTGTTTCACCTTGGGCCATTTAGGGCCGTCTTGGATTCACCTTGGCTGTCTTGGAAGCCGTCCTGGAGGCCGTCTTGACTGTCTTAAGGCCAGAAAAAACGCTGGACGGCAAACTCCAGGGGGGAAGGGGGCGGTTTTCGAGGGGTGCGTGCGATGATCGGGTTGACCCAAAAGGGGGTCGAGCGACAAGGGGGTGGTGCAATAGATTTGGTGTAATCAATTTGTGGGGTTGCAATACATTAGGGGCGTGCAGTACATTCCGGGGCGCAAACGTATTGCTGTATTTTCGCGTGCAATATATTACTTGCAACACAATGCAATAACATTCTCCGGCGCAGTACATTTGCAATACAATTGCCCGAAATCTATTGCACCACCCCCTTTCAGCTGGACCCCCTTTTGGGTCACCCAAAGATGCGGGGGTCGGCTCTAGAAAACACTAACAACCTTCCAGGCATGGTGGCAGATCAATGTTTGCGAGTGAGTGTGCACGTGTCCCGAAGACTGGCTTATTATGAAGGCCTTACGGCCAGTGCCGCCGACCCTGAAGGGGGACCCCGAGGCGTCTGGGAGGCAAGGGATCGAAGCGGAAAGCTTCGTCCAGGGAGGGGTGCTTCCCCGGGGGGGGGGGGTCACAACCCCGACGGCCCCCCCCCCCCTCCCCCCCCTCCCCCCCTCTTGGGTGGATAAGGGATCAAAAGGGAAGGGGCTTCCCTTCGACTCCATTATGACGTTGTGTGATTTCGCTCCGGTTGGGACAATTCAAGAGGAGGGCTGACGGACAGGGAAAGGGGGGAGCGGTGATGGCGACGACGACGACGACTCAAACGGGACATATTCTCACATACGCCGACAGGGTCGGCAGATTTCACCCTGGATGTAGAAGCTATATCGTGCAAGCTATGTGGTGCAATCTACGCCAAACTATGTTGTAAAAGCTATGCGCAGTAAGCTATGTGGTGCAAGCTATGTTGTGCAAGGCATGATGTGCAAGCCATGCGGTGTAATGTATGCGTTGAAAGCACTGTGGTGTAAGGTTTCGCGGTGCAGTCTACGGGATTCTATTAATTTGGGCCAATTCATGAGTTGTCAACTCCACTGCTCGCGCAATCATCCCGCTCTTCCACCCGCAACTTGTTTTGCAAAACGCATGCGGTTCCGATGGTTGCTTTGCCCTGGCTGCAGTACCTCTGCGGCCTCGCTGTCGCGCGCTAGCTCGCGCGTGGAGAGGCCAGTGGGATTGGCACAGCCGATGCGGCCGCGATGGCGCTTACCGATGGCAACTTTCCAGCGCGTGTCAAAGACCGCGATGGCGCGCAGGCACTTCAATGCGGGTCGGTGACTCGGGCGGGCACGGCATCATGACGACGTCGACAACGGCGACAACGATGACGATAGTAGCGATGGTGGTAATTAGCGATTCGGACAATGATGGCGGCAAGGCCAACGACAACGCTCATGGTTGTGACGACGATGACGGTGACGATGTCCACGTGCCGGTGATGCAGATGCTTGGGTGACGATCGTGGCAACGACAGCGACTAGCGGTGACGATGTGGTAATGCGATGGCGCTGTGGTAATGCGATGGCGCTCGATGAGGGCGATGGCGAGGAAGTGCGCTCGCGCTCGCAGAACTCCAAGTTCTGCCTTCTGCGCCGTCTGCGCCCTTAGGGCGCGCGCGCCGTGGAGTGGCGCGGGGCCCCGCCGCCGAGGAGCCTCGGGCCGCCAGGCCGAGGCCCTGAGGCGGAGGAGGAGGAGGAGGAGGAGGAGGGGGGGGAGGAGGAGGAGGAGGAGGAGGAGGAGGAGGAGGAGGAGGAGGAGGAGGAGGAGGGGGAGGAGGAGGAGGAGGAGGGGGGAGGAGGAGGAGGAGGAGGGGGAGGAGGAGGAGGACGAGGAGGAGGAGGGGGAGGGGGAGGAGGAGGAGGAGGAGGAGGAGGAGGGGGGGGGAGGAGGAGAAGGAACGAGGCGCGATGGCAACAGTTTCCTTCACGCGCAAACCCATGTCTTCGCACGGGTTCCGACGCGCGCGCGGCGGCGCGCGCGCGTGTGGCCCCGCATCGTCGGCCTCTTTGGGGGAGTGACATCGCAGCGGAGCGGAGAGACCCCGCTGAGAAATCGGTGTCGGTGTCGTGCTCGCGTCGTGAGTGGAGCGTGTCGCCGTCGGCAAGTCTTGCGATGCCACGTGATCTGTTGGCTACTCCAGATCTCGTAATAAAAGGGAGGGGGTCTGGACCCTCCAAGACAAGCCATTTCAGACCTCCCCCGTGGGAGAACCCTCCAAAACATCGTCCCCAGACCCCCCCAGGCCCTCCAAGATAGCCTGGAAAAGACCCCCCCCGAAATGAGACCCCCCTCCCTTTATCACGAAATCTGGAGTATGTGCTCAGGTGCGCTTCGCACTCGGCATTTGCTTGCTCGCTTGCCTGTTCGCGTCGTGCGTGCGGGCGAGGCGAAGCTGCGTGGGCGCGCGCGGGCAGATGCCCCCGCCGTCGCTGGTGCGCTGCGGGTGCAGTGAGAGCCGCCCCTTCGCCCCCTTGGCGGGGCGCGCGGTGGCCCGGGGGGTGTCCCGCCGTGGCGTCCTCGTGGTGTCCCGCCGTGGTGTCCCTTTTGGGGTCCCCTCGGTGCTCCGTCGGCGGTGGGCGGG